CGCGCTTCTTGCAAAAAAGCCGCGCGATTGGGTGGTGAAGGCGTAGCCCACCCTGTGAGCCACCAAGGGAGGAGCCAGGCGCGCCTGGCCGCTCTGCTCGGAATCGCCGGAACCCGGAGGCGACCCAGATCGCTCACCAGCGGGCCGACCGGGGACTGACGACAGAGCGCCGAGGAGGAGCGAGCGGCAGCCACGGGCGGTGTCCGCGGGGCCGCACGGCCGACCTGACGATGAGCGACCTTCCACGGAGACGCGGAGCGCCGTGTCGTGAAGTCCAGCGTCGGGTGACGGAGGCCAGAGCGGCAGTTCCCCGGGCCGGGGCGTAGGGACGGGGAGGGGGCTCGTCAGCATCGGGACCTGGGGACAGACCTGGGGGTGTGCACACGCATGAAGGTTCTTCGGGCTGTTCCCTTGAGGTCGGTGCACCTTACTGTGTGTATGTTGCAGCCTTGTGTACATCACGCCCCAAAAGGCCAAGGACGTGACACATTCTTGAGTCAGTATTTCCCAGGGGCTCCAAAATCAAGCCACTCTCTAATTATTTGCTCCGTAACATCCTCAGGTTGAGGTGCAAACTGCTTTGATTACTAACGTAGCATTGTGGTTACCGGAGCAGGTTCTGGGGCCAGATTTCCTGGGCTGAAATAGTATTTTTGCCTCCCTCTAGCAGTGCAAGTGTGAAGAAATTGTGTAACCAGTTTTTCTTGTCGTGGGACTAGGCAGGCCGGTACGGCGGGTGGTGAAAGAACTGACCGGAGACAAAGTGAAATAAAAAGCTTAGTAGGGGTACGCCGCCACAGACAGCAGCGGGCCACGCGGACGAGAGGTGCCTGTGTGTGCACCGAGGGCAGAATTCTAGAGCCTTTTATGAGGAAGGGCCTATGTGCTTTAGGGAAGGGGTCGTGTTGAACGTTTCCAGGAGTTAGTTGATCATTATCTAAGGGGTTATTTTTAGGAGGAGGTAGGGGGTCTGGTGACTGGAGGAATTGTGGGGGAGGGGTTGTTGTTAGGTCATAACTCAGGGTTGTTAGTTGGGCTAAAGCAATTACGTGTTGGAAGAGGAACGTTCTCTGTTTTCTGATTTATTGTCTTTATGGTGTAAATAATTAGGGCGCAGGTTTGCATCTTGTGACTAGCGCCCCCTTTTGCTCTCTGTGGGGCCTCTCACTTGTCCCCGAACCCCACATCCTTCGCTTTCATTTCACTGTTGTAAAATCCACGCTCAGTCTCTGCTCCATTTCTGCCAGTAAAAGGGCACTTTGCAGGTCTGTTCTTTGATGTGATGCTGAGTATGCAGAGCCAGGCCTTAGAAACTAAGTCTGAAGAATTAACAAAGGGAGGTTCAGAAAGAATGGAAGACATAAGGCGTAGAATGTTCTGCATCAATAATTATTTAAAATAATCTGTTTAAAATAACCTATCATAAATAACCTAAATTATTTAAACAATCTGTTACAATCACAAACACTAAAATAACCTGATTTGATAAAACAATAAGTTGAGAGTGGCCACAAGATCCTACGGGCTGATGAAAAATTGAGAGTGGTGTGACTATGACAGTTACCAACTTGTGTTTGTGGTCAAAATGAATTTTTTCTTGCAAGTGTTATTTCAACACAGAAGCTTTAGAAGTTGCCACATTCTGCAAAAAGAAAAAAAGCCCTACATAAAGGCCATGATTGTTACATGGTTATCTTAGTTGACAGTTTGTTGCTCTGGGAGATAGTCTTGTAATTGAAGTCTCTGTGTTCTTAACAGACACTTACAGGATTTATTTGTTAAATCCAACCACAAGGATCATTGGCACCATCCTCTTCCCGCAAGCATGAGGGAAGATGTCCAGTTCTCCTGGGTTTATCACTTAACAAAGAGTTTGAGAGTGTAAATGAAGAGTGTGAACTCTGCTGATTAAGAAATTGTGATCATCCAACCTGGTCAGGGCAGAGGTTGACTCTTGTTCCATCTAGAAAAACTGTTTTTACAGACATCACATTCCTAGTGTTTGAATGTAGTAGACATTACTAACTTCAAACTGATTCCAAACATTACATTTGGAATTACTTTATTAACAAAATTCTGGTTGGAAAGGCATCACATGATGTGAAATTTTAACATTTCAGGGTTTTAATCACCACCACTTACGTAAAATAGCTGGGGAAAATATGTAAATATGTCTTATGTAGAATAGGAACCAAGAATACTGAAAGTGATTAATATACAGAAAGACATGCAGAAAAAAATGCATATTTACTATAGTTTTCCTTACATAACTGGTCAGAGACCATGATCAATGTTTACAGCTCCTTTTACTACCTATTCTGTGTTATCTCTACCCTCTGCCAACATCTTGGCTGATTAGGGCTTTGCAATTCCAGAAGGATCTGAGGCCCTAGTGGT